TAGATATTATAGATATTATAGATATTATAGATATTATAGATATTATAGATATTATAGATATTATAGATATTATAGATATTATAGATATTATAGATTGACCACTAATAAAGTTCACGTATTGAAATATTAAACTACTACGTAGAAGTAAACAAGATGTCCCAAAAAATAACTTAGGGACGTTTTCACCGGGTGTTTGTATAATAATGCTATATTTGCATGCGTTTAAATATTCTTTTAGCCATTTGGTTCTATTCTCTTAATTTTTACGAAAGTGAAAAAAATTACTAGATTTGTTGTCACCCGTCATCTAAGCATTTTTAAATTAGGGTAAAGTTACGTGTTCAGCATTATAAATTGCGTACAACGTTCAACTTCTTGTCACATTCTTTAAACATTTCTTGATTGCAGCCGTCGTACAAATTATATGTACTTAGTTGAGACAGATCTGGACATTTATTGTTCCAGTTAATCACATTTTTCCTTAATTTTTATTAGAAATCAGCCGCAATTTCTGATGATTCTTTTTCAACATTTTGTGCGTACAAACTGGAGTCAGCAATAGATTGAGAAACAGAAGTTATTATTAATTTAAAAAATGAAGATGAAAAATGTATGAATTATAATGAATGTTCTAAATAACGCTTTTTGGAATAAAAGAATAGATGTTACAGTTCTAAATCTTTAAAGTTATAAAATTCAATTTACATATTATATTCTTTTAAGATATAGTAAGGTGTTTTAATAATGTCTGAAACCTTTACCATAAAAATAAATTGTTTATACTTATCCGTGTAATCAAGAATGACGGTTTGTGTTAAACATTGAACGACGAGAAAAGTTGATATCTAGTTCAAAAGAGAATTTTGATTTTATAAAAATAGAAGAATAGAAGGTTTCAACAGATTGCGGTGCGTAAAAAACTGCTAAGACAAATGCATATTTTAAGTTTATAGTACATTACGAGCGAGGTGGTAAATATGGCATTACACCGAGTGCTTATGTATACGATCGAGAGGCGCCAGCCTCGAGATTGGATAAACCACAAGGGGTAATGCCATTACCACCGAGGTTTTTATTTTATTCACAATCACATTATTTTCAGTCAAAAATTTGGGTAAAATAAAATTCTAACAAAGTTAAAGTCCAAACGTGGTAGGCCATCCAAATGGCGTTTGATTTTTGACATTTCAGAAATGTCAAAGAAAATATTGAAATAATGTGTGAATCTGATTTAAAATCGTCGAACTGGAGCAGTGTACTCCCCCAGAAGTAAGAGAAACTGGTACAAAAGCAATTAATACTAATTTAGCAAAATATTATGCTTAACTTGACAATTTGAAAGAAAAAATTCCCGGTATTTTCGTAATTTTAACGTTGGCAATCCTGCATATTACCACCCAAGAGGAGTAACATTTATTACTCTTCATGAGAAATAATGACATGTTTCCCAACCTTAAAAAGGTTAGTAATCGGCATATTACATTAGTGATTGTGAATAAAAGTATTTTCACTTGTTGAGTCGAGATGTATCTAGGAAAGAAATAAATTAAAGACATTTTAGCTTCATGAAAAAGAAAACAACGATAATAGGGCCTTTTAGTTCGTTTATTGCATTTTTTAATAGCTGGTATAATTAACTGAGTTTGGAAGAAATCTAAAAATGCATATTTTAATTTATAAACGCTGTGTAGCATGATATAATAGCCATTTATGCAACAAGTTGCAAAATGAGCGTGTTTTTCACTAGACTCGTTACACTCGTGGTCCAACATGTCGTTTTTTTTTTGGATGTTCTTTACAATTTGGATATGAGAAGCATAGAATTCGAATTTTAAATCTGTGATAACAATAGTTTTCCAAAATGATACTATTGCGTTGCTGTTGCTATGAAAATAGTGTTATTTGTTATCTTTATGTCACACTTTTTAACACAAGTGACAAAATAAAGCACATTTAACAACTAAAATGACATATCACAACCAAATTGGAAAAAAAAACATTATCTTGTCTAATAAAATTAATAAAATCTGCATTAGTGAGTCTTTGTTAGTCCTTGTTGAATTGCCATGGTGCTTATTTATTCAAATAAATTCTATTAATTATCTTCTTTAACTTGCATAAGGATAAAGTCTTGCGGTAGCACCTGTTTGCTTTATCCAGTGCCATTGTGACAATTCCATTAGTGACGCAAGAGAAAAGAAGATTCTTAAGAAAAAAAATATGAAAGAATTTCCTTGTTCTATGTACACATACACACAAGTCAACGGTGCTCATTATGCATTATGTGCCATCTTAGGATCAAGATGTTTAGAAATAGAAGTATTAAAACAATTTTGCATAAATTACATATGGTATTCTTTAATAATGAAACGATATTGGTATAGGTATCTAGCGAAAGAAAATTCTAATTACATTGAGGTAGTTATTTTGCAATAGGATGAGCTACCGTGAGCAGCGAGTACCTATAAATAATAAATGAGAATCTCAAAGAACTATGCATTTGTAAGTAATGGCAAATTGTAATCTCAAAGGTTAACTTGTCATGTTTTTTGATGATCTCATTCCAATATTTGTTATTGCATTTTATTACTTGTTCATTAGTAGTGAAAAATGAACGGCGAAAGGAATGGGAATTGTTGGATGCGACAGTCAAGGTTCTGATAACTTTAATTGCACCAAGTTTTTGTCTGAAACGCAAATAAGACTTTTGTCACGGTAAATGACTTAAATGCCTTTCTTAAACAATATGCCCTCGCCGAGAAATTGTGTAACTAAACATGCACAATTTTTATGGTGAAATCCTGTATTTATTATGCTTAAAACTCGTTTGCACATTCAAGGTTTTGCTCATCTTTAATTAATATGCGGGACAGAAAACCGTAATATAATTTATATAGAGCTTCTACAAAAACCTTGACATTTCTGTACGGCAATTAATACCAAAAGAATGTCAAGAAATATATTACGAATTTAATCCTTATATTAAGTAAATAAAATAAAAGTGAAAAGAACGTACTGTAAAGTGGCCAATGCAACCGGATCTATCGATAAAAGAAATATCCTTTATTCTTCTTATTATTTTCCAAAACTTTCGAAATAAAAAACAGTAGATATTTTTTAATAGTGGAAATTAAAAAAATTGTAGAAATCAAGGAACAAGAGAACTCAAAATTATAACTCGTAGAAGTAGTCGGCTGTATAGATAGTAGTGTCAAAGAAAATTTTCGAGGCCTAAATTTTTCAGGTAATTGTTTTATTTTGTTTAAGATTCTACCCAAAAATCTTCGCAAAAACTGTGCATCACACGTCCCACATTTATTCCCAATATTCGTATTTGCAAAAGTTTCAAAGCTTCGATTTTTTGATAGGTATAAAATTCCACTCCAGATTTCGACAAAAAAGTCAATTTTCCGTAAGAATCCGACACTTTGTGAGAAAGTAATTGATAAAAATAAGCATTTAACTTGCTTGAAATTAATTGCATTAAGTCGAGAGTAAAAAGTCATCAACGTAATTTACGCCGTAATTTACATAGGACTTGTAAGCTGACACTTCCTTTATAAAACGTTAATGTGTTTAGATCTTGTATATATAAATCAGCTAATAAGTTTTCATGTAATTATTTTTCATCTTGGGCACGGACTCTACATAGCGCATATTCTACACACGTAATTTTGTAATGGTGGTGAGAATTCAACAAATTAAAAATAAAGAAACTCCTAGATCATTTATCACAAAGAGCTAATATGCACTCCTGTATTTTTTGCAAATACAAATTCACTAACTCATTATCCAATTTTAATTCCAAAGAAAGGAAGTACTGTGACAAATAGTGAAATTGAAATGAAACTCTTTGTTAAGTAGAGACATTGGCTTGTGACTGTAATAACTATAGTGATATTGATAAGTAGTGATAAGAAAAAATACATTTTTCCTTCTTCGTATCTAGAAAGCAGCAATATATTTTATAATAGTTTAATTAGTCAAATAAAACGTTTTCTCTTCAGTATTTGTCAACCTATACAGTTGGAGACAAAATATTTTGGTCGTCACTTTTCTGACACTTTAATGTAATTCAAGCTTTAACCTTAAAATGATTGACAATTTCAAATTAATGACAGCTATTATATTTTCCTATCAAAAATATGTACATACAACTTGTCAATTATGATTGACAGTAGCTAAAAATAAGGTTAACAGTCCTAAAGCATGCTTTACAATTAATTTTTCAATTTACAAGTCCACAACATTGTACTTACTTGGGGTGTGTTTCTATCAAAATTATTAGCACTGAATTCTGTCTTTGGACCTTAGGTAATGATGTCTGACCTCAGGTATTCAATTATAGCGCTTTCAAAGAGCAAACAGGCAAACAAGATTAATAAAAGTCAAAATTTTGACAACATCTCAATTTGAAAACATAACCATAATTTTTTAACAAAATTTTTAGGGACAAAAACAAAGAGCAAACAAAATTTGTGGCTATGGAGACAAGCTGCTACCAATTTTTTCACCAAAATTTTGACTTGGTAATTTCCATTTAAAAAAAACAGACTTTAATAACAATATTTATTTCCAAAAGAAAAAGTAACCTCCAACAGTTTTGAGTTTCCTGGTAGTTCTGGTACTACGATTAGTAACTTACGTATGTATTAGTATAACACATTTTAATTATTTTGCATCTGCAAATTGTAATGCGAATATTAAAGTAGTAGAACTAATATTAAATTATATAACTGTGATTAGTAACTTACGTATGTATTAGTATAACACATTTTAATTATTTTGCATCTGCAAATTGTAATGCGAATATTAAAGTAGTAGAACTAATATTAAATTATATAACTGTGTTTTTGGATCAAAATGAAATTAAATAAAATATGACAAGTACAGACAATTTAAGCAATACATGTGTTTGTTATTTAGTTGAAAACACTAAAATGATATTTTTTCATAAATTCATTAGGAGGAAAAAATTTATAAATAATATTTATGTGATTATGCATCATTATCTCTAGATTAAAGGTTATTATGTTGGTTCAACGAGAGAGATGTGGTTAAATGACTATCTACTTTTAGTTATTGTTTGGTTTGAAGATGGAGAGTCCAAAACTTGTTGCAATATTTTTTGTTATTATGGTTTGCTTGCAAGTCGAGGGATGGGTAGCCATTATTGTATCGAGTCCTGGAAGTAAGGTTTTTCACATTTTCATGAAATCAAAAAGTAAATAAATTTGTAGAAAAAACAGGGGGCTGTTATACGGAAAAGTATAATTTGGGAGAAATGAAAGTGGGAGAAGAAAAGCCTGTCCCAGGTACATGTGCCCAAGCAACGTGTACAAATGATGGAATTATCAACTTGGAAGGGTGAAACAGCAGTAACTAAAACTTATTTTGACAAGTTTATTTAATGTTTATTTTAGATGCAGTAAAGTTGTCGCCGAACCTCCATGTTACTTAACTGACGGCGATCTCTCGAAGCCTTTTCCTCACTGTTGTCAAGAAATGCATTGTAAAGAAGAAAATGAGATATAATATATCTATTTTGCCAATCTAGTTGCTGTGTACTAAAGAAAAGTTAAATTTCTGTATTTGTATAATGCGGACACTGTTGATTGGAATAAAAACTACAATTAAAGTGGAGATGAGTTTTTTCGGCCGTTTTCTTTATGGGTCAAGCTTGTCGAACGTTTTGAACATGATGGCCGCTTTATAAACTATGGATGCTTAGAAATCGTGTGTGGTCTTCGTAGTCATACAGAAAAAATATAGGTACTTAGAAAGACAGTAATTGAATGTTATATGTTTGCTGTTATGTTTTTTAAATTGTTACAAATGCGCGGTTTATTTTTGCCATATTAGAGTGCAATTTAATAGGTTGTAATTCATTTAAACTTCTCTATCATTTCTTATCGCTTAAAAATTAATTAATGTAATTACGAGAAAGTAGCAGAAGTTTAGTTAGAGGGCATATCGGCGAGATGAAGACGCAATAACATAACATTGTGACTTCCCACGAGTTGTTATGTGTTTTGTTAATATCTATTAACACGCAACGGAGCAGCGCGCTATAAAATAAAATCTTATTAGACTATTTATATTGTTTCTTGCACTAACTAAATACTTTAATAAGTTTACAGTGAAATTATGTTTCCAATTAACTTCAGTCTGAATAGCTATTCTGTATTGTTATTAATATTGCTTTTTACCTATTTTCTTCCTCCAATAAAAAAATAGTCATTCTCCAACAACCGACATCGTGTATAACGATGCAGTAACATAACAACAATAATCGTTAGACATTTGCAGGTGGAGATGCTATTTTTGCAATTGTAAAAAATAGATATGTATTTATTTTAAGGCGAGTGAACTAGACTCCCGTTTTATCATTTGTTGCCACGCACGCTATGGAACATTTGTTCTGCGAACATTTTTATACTACTTCTAATAATTACTACAGAAATTTAAATCATAACATAACTTTCCCTCATTCGTCACTATCTCACGTTGAGAAGAAAATTTTAAATTAAGACAAACATATAACGAGTGTTTTTTTTTAATTTCACGTTAGTTGGCGGTGACTATGACTTTGTTGTGAACGGATCACAAATTTTAATACGCCTGGTGCGGTGAGGTGTCAAATGTCAGATTAATAACTTTCAATTCGATGGTTTGTTCACAATTAAACTTTTATGGCTAGCTTTGACGCCAATTTTTTTCTTTTTATGATATCACTTTAGTGAGACAAACCCTAAACTATTAATTATACGTAAATATGGTATATAGGCACCGACAACACATATGTGTACCAAATATTTTTATGTACCTAATATTAATTGTCTTTTCTTAATTGCTCTTTGGATTTATTTTTTAAGACATCCATCAATTAGAAAAGCGACTTGAAAGCGTTTTCGCAGAATTATCTAGATTTTCAAATTTACGTGCAAAGTTCTTGGAAGTTGGGAGTTAATTAAATAACTTTTCGTCCAATTAAAATAAAGTCACGTTTAAGAATCGGTTTGCAAATAGCAGTATCTTTGGGACGAATCCGGGAAGCGTTCTGGAATTCCACGCGCCTATTTAAATATCAATGAATATACGTGATGTCGGCAAGTGGACGCGCCGATACCTCATTAATTAAATAAAACATGTCTAAGTTAAATCCAATGGGGAATTAAGTATTTGTCAACAACTGAGATTATGTGACAAAAACAACCATTGCCAATGAAACCGAGTCTATGCCAAATACGGGAAAACACTGAATACCGACATCGGCTGCTTAGACAGTAGATTAACCGAGTTCGAGTAATAAAACGCACGCGGCATCAAATGAAATCGCAGAATCTTTTATACCCATATGCTATTCTTTTTCATCGATTTAATTATTTCTTAGAACATTTATTTTGTATCTTTGAAGCCGACCAAAAAACAGATTGCTATACATATTTGAATAGCAAATTAGTGAAAGCCCTCTATTTTAAAAAGCTTTATAGGATTCACATCAAATGCATTGTATGGGTTTTATTTTCCTACTTTTATTTGATGACTGATTTTTTGGTAAATAGATAAGTTGTGAAATGTGTTATAAAATGTTATTTTCTTTTGACTTGTTCCTCTCAGAAGCAAACGTTTCCGCGATTAAAAGGAATAACAAAAAACAGTGGTGGCTTGTAACTCTCTAGTCAGGTGAGACCAGGAAATTCCAGAATCAACAAAAAAAGATGTAGATATTTCCATGTCATCCAAAAGGTAATCTGCTTGATAGGTTGGCTTCTTTATTTTTTTCACTTATGTAAAATTATGTAAAATAGCTAAAATTGGAGTGCTCCTTAACGCCAAGTGTGTTTTTTTCAATTCTTTTTAAACCTATGTAAATTTGTAAATCCTCTTTGGGTTTTTCATGTAACTTTATCCCGCGCGATAAATTTTTCAAGTAGGTATTTGAAACCATCATTGCCTGAACTCCATACATTAATTATGGGCGATCATCAAACATGGCCAACAAAATAAACATTCTTTTAAAACGCTACCACATAGCCAAGTATAAACTAGAGTCCAAAAGCACGTTTATGATGTGAACTTATGATGATACACAACCGTAAAGTTGGTCTTTCTAATTCCAAAATACAAGGCGACAAAAAAAAGTCATGTCGTGACAACTTGACAAATTTTATATCATTTTGTTCGTGTCAGTGAGACAAATCAAATGCAGTAAAAAAAAATTCTAAAAGTCCACACACTTTAAACTAATTTTTTTTTTCTAATTTAAATGAATTTAAAATACTTTAACTTTAAAAAATTAGTACTCACTAACTATTAGGCCGATTTCTTTCAAATAAAGACCATTTTAAAGGGATGGACTTGCCCTTTAGAATGATATGCAATTTGAAATTGAATATTGGCAAACTTTTCTTCGAACAGTGTTCGAAGAAGTTCGAAGTAAATCGAAGTAATCTAAAAAAAAAACCCTACGAGTAAATTTTTCTTCTTTCTTCACCATCATGTAGAGCATCTTTTTATTAATAAAAATCCAAATTTTTAAAATAATATACCGAATAGTTTTTAAGATATGATTTTTTGAAGTTAAGATTTGCTATTCATGTATTGCGCCATATAGGAGAAATGCATGTTATTCTTTCTTAAAATTGCATTTTTATAAAAGTATTCGTTTTAAGACTCTTCTTTTGCTAAAAATGGTCAATTGCACCTTCTTTGTTCTAATAAGAATAAACAAAAACTGTTTCTTTACTTAAAAAAAAACAAAGAGTACCTGCGTACTAAGAAAAGATAAGATACCATGAGCATGGAAAAAATGTTAAAAAAATTCTATCTATAAAAATTTCGATGTTATGAAAGTTTAAATTTTGCACTTTGACTCTATTTATTTCTGTTGAAAAATAGTATATTACATAACGAGCACGGAAAGTGATAAATAACGCACAAGCGGGAAAGTTGCGCACGAGGCGTTAACCGAGTACAGGCAATCCCGCGAGTGCGTTAGACACTTTCCTGCAAGGTTTGTACACTATTTTTAATACGACCATAAATGACTTTTTTCTTACGAACATATTTTTTTTTTCATAACGATTTATTTTTTATAATGGCTACAAAAATACGTTGAATAACGATTTATTTTTTATAATGGATACAAAAAAATACGTTGAATGAAAAAATGTGTGAATTGTGCGTTAGATTTCTAACCCACAGCGCGAAAACAAATCGCACAGGTTTTTGACCTCGAACGATATTGCCAATTTTCGCGCATATGTAATTGTGCGTTATGATCAAGTTTCGTATATGGTCGTAGAAAAATAATTTTTCAGACTATTAGAAAAGGAAACAAGGAAGCTGTAACCTAAATTGTAACTCTGTTTAATGTTATTTGTAGCTTTAATTGACAAAATTGTTGTATCTTTACAAAAGAAAAAAATGTTAAATGTAAAAAAAATTTTTTTGACAGATAGCATGTTTTAATATTTTTTCCCTGTTCCTGGTATCTTATGTTATTTGAAATTTTTCTCTGGGGCGCGAGTTTTGACACACCCTATATAATTTAGGGTATAAACCACTTAAAAGCAATTTATTTGTTGTGAGTAGTTTACCTCTGGAGCCTACATTTTTGATTGCTAAGTTTTTATACCTTTTTGTTTTTGTACATTAGAGGCTCTGTTTGAAATTGAATATACTTGCCGCATCTTTTATTATTTGTTGTCTAATTCGATAGTAAAATCAAATGAAACAATGAAGCAAGTTGGATAAAAATACCTAAGCATGTTAAACTACTTACATGATTTTACAATTTTATGTTTTGGGATTTCATTGTGCTTGTACAAATAAAAAAAAATTGTTGTTAAAATTCAACACATACAGAAACATGCTCGACTTTTTTGTATTTTTTTGTGTTAATTATTTTGAAGGTTATGTAATTTATTTCATTATCTAATTTACTGAACAACAGTATCTAATGCCAAAAAGTAATCAACAGCATCTCCAGTATTTTGTATTCCCAAGAGAGAGTAATTCACCGTAAATACCAAGTTGACGTAAACTCCTGACGCTTCCACTCAGCCAAAGACAAGAATCCGGCGGCGTGTCTTGTGAACTAGATGATAGGAAATGACTTGTGAGTAAATACACTTATGGAGAGACTAGATGTTTGTGCGTGCAGCTCCGTTTCCGCTTCTCTTTGAGCTGTAAATACATCATGTTTGTCTATGCCATCCTTCGGTTACGTCCAGTTTCTTTTATACATTTTTACTGTACCATAGAGTTCATTCTTCACGAAGAAGATAATAAAAACTAGTACGAGAAAGTGAATGCTTAGCCTTTTAGGAAGCAATTTAAATCGTTCATGGTCATTATCATTACGGAAGATTCGTCGTCACTTTGGGAAGCTCATCGGACGAGTTTTGTGATATATCCGCCAACTTGAACTTTATTTGTTACTAAACGTAGGCGGTGTACGTTAATTCACTTTTTATTGCAATTTTATAGCCTTTAATTCCATCGAGTTGTTATAAAATGCCTAGCGAGCAATGTACCAAAGATCATTTGCATACTCAGATACTTTCCATATTTAGGTGCTCTGCTGAAAGCACTATTTGACAAAATTCAAGTCTGATAAAATCAACCATATTTCATGT